GGGTCCAGTATAGATGATATCTGACAGTGATTAAAATCACTATCATAAGAAACGCTTCGATGCAAATCTGTAGATAATGTTTAATTTAAAAAAAAAACTTGTTAAAATAACATATTTTTGAATATGGTAGCCATTTGCGCATAGAAGATAGTTCGTCGGGACAAATTTTTTTTTTTTATTTTATAGTACATAAAATAAGCTTTAATTTGATATATGTTTAAAAGACGCAGTATTTCCGGAACATTTTTAAAGTTAAGTTGAAAAGTTAGTTTTTTGTAAAAAAGTAGCTATTTTAAATCCCCCCAATGAGCAGAATAAGTGTTAGATTTTCAAAAAAAATTATATCAAATGAAATGGAAATATCTAAGGTTTCAATACAAAAAAATATTATTTTTATTTGTTCATTTTTGAAAAAGTTATGGCAGTTTTAAGTACAAAAAACATCCCGATAAAAGGTCATTTTTATCGCAAACATTACATTTTTTTAAAAATGTTGGACAGCCATTTGCACATAGAANTTAAATTTTCGACAGCCATTTGCACATAGAAGATAAGATGTCGGGACAAATTTTTTTTTTTCATTTGATAGTATATAACATAACCTTTGATTTGATATATGTTTAATGGACGCAGTATTTCCGGAACATTTTCAAAAGTTCAGTTGAAAAAGATCTATGTTTTTTTAAATATTTTAAGTTTTGAACGCCCCCTATATAAGGGGAAATTGTCCAATTTTAATAAAAAGTATGTCAAATGAAAGATGTACTTATAATGTATTTAGAAAAAAAAAATTTGTGCTGATATATACATTTTTCAAAAAGTTATAGCATTTTTAAGTTGAAAATTTAAAATGGAAAATCAAAAATTTTAACACAAAAATAGTGTTTTTGTAATTACGGCAGCCGTTTAAATGTAGAAAAAAAAGTGTCGGGACAAATTTTTTTTTTTCATTTTGTAGTACATAAAATAAGCTTTAATTTGATATATGTTTAAAGGACGCAGTATTTCCGGAACATTTTCAAAAATTAAGTTGAAAAAGTTATTTTTTGTAAAAAAGTTACTATTTTAAATCCTCCCAGTGAGCAGAATAAGTGTTAGATTTTCAAAAAAAATTATATCAAATGAAAGGGAAATATCTAAGGTTTCAATACAAAAAAATATTATTTTTATTTGTTCATTTTTGAAAAAGTTATGGCAGTTTTAAGTACAAAAAACATCCCGATAAAATGTAATTTTTATCGCAAACATTACATTTTTTTTTAAATTTTCGACAGCCATTTGCACATAGAAGATAAGATGTCGGGACAAATTTTTTTTTTTCATTTGATAGTATATAACATAACCTTTGATTTGATATATGTTTAAAGGACGCAGTATTTCCGGAACATTTTCAAAAGTTCAGTTGAAAAAGATCTATGTTTTTTACAATATTTTAAGTTTTGAACGCCCCCTATATAAGGGGAAATTGTCCAATTTTAATAAAAAGTATGTCAAATGAAAGATGTACTTATAATGTATTTAGAAAAAAAAAATTTGTGCTGATATATACATTTTTCAAAAAGTTATAGCATTTTTAAGTTGAAAATTTAAAATCGAAAATCGAAAATTTTAACACAAAAATAGTGTTTTTTTAACTACGGCAGCCGTTTAAATGTAGAAAAAAAAGTGTCGGGACAAATTTTTTTTTTTCATTTTATAGTACATAAAATAAGCTTTAATTTGATATATGTTTAAAGGACGCAGTATTTCCGGAACATTTTCAAAAATTAAGTTGAAAAAGTTAATTTTTGTAAAAAAGTTGCTATTTTAAATCCCCCCCAATGAGCAGGTTAAGAGATAAATTTTCAAAAAAATGATATCAAATAAAAGGTAAATATCTAAGGTTTTAGTATAAAAAAAAATTATGTTGATTTGTTGATTTTTCAAAAAGTTATGGAAGTTTTAAGAAAAAAAAGTGAAAAAATTTCGAAAATTAGCGATTTTTAAATTTGTAATTTTTTTGGATATTTCCCCCATTTGCGGGGAACGAGAGAATTTTTTTCAATTTTTAAGGGTAATGTCTTCAACTAGATACGATTTGTGATCTTTTGACGTATTTTTGAAAGAAATCGGTCCAGTGAGAGCTGAGAAAAAGTGGCAACAGACATAAAAAAAAAAAAAAACACATCATAGTAAAATTAATACCTTCTCCGCTTCGCATCGAAGCTAAAACTGTCATTAAATCTTACTATAAAATTGTGTATTATTTTTTTAATCTAAGAAAATATATCATTACGATATTTGTTCTTAACACTGAACAAGTATGTTATATTAAGGATATAGCAACCATCTTGGATATTTAACATGCATTTATGACGAATTATACATCGGTTGTTTCGTGAATAAAACAAACACTGAAATTTGAAATAAGAATATATTCTATTAAAACAATTGATTAGTTTTTTTAATTTTAGTAAAAACTTCAAAAGTTCCAATTTGATCCAAGGACGCCCTGAAGCTAAAAATAAGGGTTAACCCTCTCCATTTTGTCAAATGACGAATTGTTTTTACTAACTAAATATTTTTAGTTTTAATGCGAAGTTAAGAAAATATTTAAAATTTTGATATGTTTAAATGTTCAGCCGTTTTTTTTTTTGTAGCATTTTCATATATTGAAAAATATCTTACATTAACAACAAAATATGGGGGAATGAGGCATTATAGGCATGCTTATTATTAGAATTAAAAACCGAAATGATTTCGGTTTTTCCGAAAATTTTACCATATTTAGTAAGTAAGTATACTTATATAGAATTTTTGTAAGACTATATAGGTCAATAAAACCGAATGTATTGTAAAATCGTTTTTGAAACCTTAAAAAAACTATAATTTGAAAACCGATATTTTTTTTTTGGTTAATTTTGGATTTTAAACTTTTTTAAGGGAAAATTTTAAGTTTGATTAAGATTTAAAATATTATAATAATACTTTTTGATTCTGTAATTAACATGTACTAAAACAAATTTAATGTAGATGAACTAATTTACTAAAATAAGAAATGTTGCCAAAATCCGATGTTATTTCAGTTTCTAGCCGTCCTTACATTTATATTTTAAGATGTGTTGCCGAGTAAAGATGTCTCTTGAGGTGAGAAGATTAAGTCCCTTAAAGAGGTTTCCTCCCTCAAACCTAAGAAATCATACACATTTATTTACATCATTTTTGGTGGGGGAGTCTAGTCTTCCCAGGCGTGAACGCAAGAGGGCACCATAGAGTAATGATTCCCCAAAATAAGCATTATTTTCAAAAGAAATAGGTCTCTCACTTAAAGGAATATTAAAATGTATCTCTCTTTTAAAATTAAATTTAAAATGTCACCTATACTTGCGCTTTTTCCTCTCACAATATTTAAAGACCCAATATTGTAATTATACCCCATATTGGTTTGTAATTGTAAATTAATTTTTTTTTTTTGTAGACATACAAGTTTTATTTGAAACTTGCATTAGATATAATAGAAATATGTATAAGGTCAAGAATTTAATAATCTAAAGTAAAATGTGCTAAATATTTTTAAGAGAAAAAATAAATTTACAATTACCCATCCGTTTACATTTACCCTATTTCAGTCTAAATAAAATAAAAAAATTATAAATTCTAACAAAATTTTAAAACTATATTAAATTATAAGATGGTAATTAATTAAACTTTTATAATGAATAAAATCACATTATTGTGTAGAATCAAAGGAGAAAATTGACCAGGCAAAAAAAATTAAATTGAGTTTTCTATTATTTTTGTTATTTTTTTTAACATTTTCTAGTGAAACTAAGAGAACTTAGTCTACCAGTTTAAGAATATTAAACAGATAAAGCTCTTTTCTCTCTTTATTGTTCATTTTGTTAAAAACAATAGTTTTATCATAAGTAATAAAACAGCGAGAATTATTACTAATAATTTCACAAGTAATTAAATGTTTTTAGAACATTTAAATATTTTTCAGTAAATCATGTATGGAGAATACAATCAATCTCATAACACTCTATTTACCATATAGCTCTATTTATCTTATTTTTATCTGCTTAAATAAATAATGAGGACTTATATTGAATGTTAATATTGCAGTCATTTATGAAGTTTATAGAGTTATAGTCTACCTCTAGAACTGCCACAATAAAAAATAATAATTAATTCAAATTATATGATAAATGTACATTTTTTAATATGCCCGCGATATTATAAGATATTTAATATTATATTTAGTTGGCAACACTTTTTACAAACTAAGATACTATAACTGATAAACATGACGACGGTCGTGGTACGCTACTAATCGCAGCTCTCAATGTATTCAACTGCTGCAGTCAGTACTCACAATGCAAACATCCGTTCTTGTATTATTAGCTGCCCATAGTTTCGTGCCGTTTCGAGAAACACTCGTATGTGCTCGTGCTCGACGTACCGTCGCTGTCGTTAGTTTATCGTTTAATTTAAAGTTTAATGTTTCAATCGTGACTAGAGAAATTAGTTGCCTTTTTTTAAAGTATAATTTTTTTTGGTATACATTTTTTCAATAGTAAATTGGTACTTTTACCTTACACACATACACTTTGGTCCAATTAAATTGTACGCATCAACTATGGCTAAAAAAACATACGATCTGTTGTTCAAGCTGTTGTTAATCGGGGATTCGGGCGTGGGCAAGACTTGCATACTGTTCAGGTTTTCGGATGACGCGTTCACTACAACGTTCATATCGACTATCGGTGAGATAGGAATATTATATTATATTTTTAATTTTACTAGAGCAATTTAAATTGTTGCATCGTTGTCCGAATAATATTATTTAAATTAATATTGCTCTAATTAATCAATGGAAATTTTTTTTTTTAATTATTCCAAATCGTTTCTGTTGCTACTATTACGACCTCGAATTATGAAATATTTTAATAATTTCATTAACGATCTACATTCTACAGTGCATGCATATCTTTTATATAATTGAATTTATATAGAATAATTTTTTTTCTTAGTGCATAAACGCGGTTAAAAAACGTCTGAATGAGTGATGACTGATGATCTGCAAAATTATTAATATTAAGTAACTTGTTTATCATTAGGTTCTATAATAATTTTTATAATAGGCATTGTTGATTAAAAATGTATTTTTTAACAATGTCTTCTAAATTCTTTAAAAAATGTTAAAAATAAATTAATATTTATAATGAATTTATTATAATTAGAAGTAGTTCAAGTTGTTATCTGGTATTATGACATATTTATGTTATATAAATAAAAATAAATATAAATTTATTTATATTTTATACACTATTTGTATTGTGATTAAATTGTTGAGTGAATAAAATTAATTAATAATTCATTTAATTACATAATTTTATCATAAATTTCTTATTGTATTTTTCATATTAAAATTAATAAATGCATTGATAATAATATTTTGTGTTAATTTAAAAGCCAAAGTTTCAATATATTGAAATATTAAAATTACTTTTTAAGTTTAACTTAAGTTTAACTTAAACTAAAACTAAAACTTAAACTAAGTTTAAGTTTAACTTTTTAAGTTTGATTGAAAGGTTGTCATTAGTACAGAATTACATTTCATTAATTTTTCTTAAAAATGCTGTTTTATTGAAATTCAAGATTTTGATTTATGTTTGGAAAATTTAATAAGCTTAATTTTACTTATTTTTGTATTGTTATAGTAAAAATTAATTTTTAATGGGTTAAAATAATTATATTTTGTTTTATTTTCAGGAATTGATTTTAAAATCAAAACTGTTGAACTCCAAGGAAAGAAAATTAAATTACAAATTTGGTAAATTTTCTAAATGTCATTAATTGTCAAAATCAATTATTTCAACATTTAATATTTGAATTGTTTAATGTAATTCAAATAAAATTTTACATTTAATTATTATTTACTATTTGAATATAGAACATATTCTTTGATGTTTAAGAAAAATTTATTACATTTTCAAATCTATTAATTTAATTATATATTGTTTTTATAATTAAATGTAATGTACTATTAAATATATAATTTATATAGTAATTTTTTAGTAATTATTCTATTATTTATTTCATTGTTTTTTTTAATTTATAATAATTTTACATATAAAATTAACTAAGACTATCTATATTTTAAGGCAATATTTTAATGGTTCGTTAACCAAAAAATAATTTTTTAAATTTCAATTTTTTTTTATTATTATTGTTTAGGGATACTGCTGGTCAAGAAAGATTCCACACANTATATTTTGTTTTATTTTCAGGAATTGATTTTAAAATCAAAACTGTTGAACTCCAAGGAAAGAAAATTAAATTACAAATTTGGTAAATTTTCTAAATGTCATTAATTGTCAAAATCAATTATTTCAACATTTAATATTTGAATTGTTTAATGTAATTCAAATAAAATTTTACATTTAATTATTATTTACTATTTGAATATAGAACATATTCTTTGATGTTTAAGAAAAATTTATTACATTTTCAAATCTATTAATTTAATTATATATTGTTTTTATAATTAAATGTAATGTACTATTAAATATATAATTTATATAGTAATTTTTTAGTAATTATTCTATTATTTATTTCATTGTTTTTTTTAATTTATAATAATTTTACATATAAAATTAACTAAGACTATCTATATTTTAAGGCAATATTTTAATGGTTCGTTAACCAAAAAATAATTTTTTAAATTTCAATTTTTTTTTATTATTATTGTTTAGGGATACTGCTGGTCAAGAAAGATTCCACACAATAACAACTTCCTACTACAGGGGTGCTATGGGAATTATGTTAGTGTATGACATAACAAATGAAAAAAGTTTTGAAAATATAGTCAAATGGTTACGAAATATCAATGAGGTAAGTTCGTTCTTAATAATTTTTTTTTTTTTTAAGGCTCTTGTAGGTAAAAATATTTTGTTATATACGCAGTTAAATATCTATAAATAATTTAATGTACATAATATTGGCAAATTATCAAAAAAAGTAGAGTATTTCTTAAAAGTTTTTTTGAGTTAAAAGTAAAAATGTTTAAACTAATTTTTACTTTTAACTGATTATTGAAAAACATAACATTTCATTTTTGCATTATTTAAATTTTTGTATAAAAAAGTTATACCTTTTCTTTTATACTATCTAATGATTATTTATGTATGCCTAATTATAACATTTTTTATTTTATTAGCGTCCTAGAATTTTATAAAATGTATTTTGTATTTTGTTTATAATTTCTTTAAAAATCTAATTATATAAATATTTTACTATTTAATATTTAATTAGTAACTAATTTTTAATACTTCAATAAATACTTTAAGATTACTTGAATTTTTTTTTTTTTTATGGTAATATTTTTTATAATGAATCAAATTAAAACATTTTTCCTTTTTATAAATGTAATACAAGAAAGAAATCTAATGTATACTTTTAAAAAATTTTAGCATGCTAATGAAGATGTAGAAAAAATGATTCTGGGAAATAAGTGTGATATGGAAGATAAACGAGTAGTAAGTAAAGCACGAGGTGAAGGTATTGCTCGTGAACATGGAATTTCTTTTTTGGAAACATCTGCTAAAGCAAATATTAATATTGAAAAAGCATTCACTGATCTAACATTATCTATTTTAAATAAAACTCCTGGTCGAGAGCCAACTGACATACCAGAAAAAATCAATATAGATAGGAAATCAGATAGATTATCTAATCGTTGTTGTTGAGAATTGGGTTTAGTAAACAGACAATTTTAAATAGTTAATATAAAATATTGACGGATAATGTTTAAAACATGATTACAGTTTTGCTGAGCTTTTAAATATAGATTTAAAACTTAATATATGTATATTTTGTACTTTAAACAATTTTATTTTAAACCAATGGGTAAATTTTTTTTATACATAAAAAGAAATGCTTAGCAAAATTTGTTGTCTATAAATCTGTTCCTTTTCATATTATAAATATTAATGTAAATATTTATGTTACCATTAATAATAATTTGAGATATCTAATTGAGTTATCATGACGTCACTATTATTTACCTTAATAGAAAAACCATTTTTGTCTTTTAATACAAATATTGTATTAGTTGTTTACTGGTGCAAGTTATTAATGAATTTCTTTATTTAATTTATATATCTTTGTTCAATAATTTAAAGAAAATTTGAGTGAGCTATTTCTCATAGGGTTGTTATAAAATAAAAAAATATAGCTCAATATGATCTATTTTGTCTGTAAAATAATGCCTATTTTACTTTATTATTAAAATAAAAATATTTTTATACAATATTATGATTTTATCAAATAATAAATACTTCTAGCTAAATTTTGAAGTATAATTCAATGTATAGCTGTTGTTTTTGTTTACATTTATCAAATAATATTTTCTATTGTTATTTATTTATTTATTCATTAAAAAAAAAGTAAGTTATTCTCAAGGTATTGATAATTATTTTAAGCATATAATGTACATCTGCTTTTAAATAACAACCTCTATGGTTGTGTAATATTAATTATGAAAATATGTTATTATAAACATAAACCATAATAAAGTTTTTATTTTTATAAATAAAATTTTACTATTAATTTGATCAATTTTTACCAACTCACTATCTAATATTTCATACTATCTAATTTAGCCATTTGTCTGACCCAGTGGTCGGCAACCGGTGGCTATTGAATACGGCCCGCTTTAAATTCTAAATCGACTAATTTAATTGAATATCATTTTGTATAAATATAATTGAACGTTGCGTTTTTGGTACGGGTATTTTATATAAGTCATATTATTATTTTAAGTTTTAGATAGTATTTTTTTGCATAATAAATAATGTAATTATAAATTTTTTTTTTTTATCTGGCCCGCGAACTCTTTTTAATTTGTAAATGTGGCCCGAGAATCAAAAAAGGTTGCCGACCACTGGTCTGACCAATTGTCATATATAATGTGATATTATTCATAAGGGTATTATGATCTAGTTATTAGATATTTTTATTAGCCACAGAGACAAATTATAGAGTACTTTAGATACTAGACATCTCAAAATATATTTAATATTTTTCTAGTTGTATAACATCAGTTATTAATTGATATAATAACCAGTTTTTAACATTGCAAATAATTTATTCAATTTAACTTTTTATTTTTAATAAACTCTAAAAATTATTAAATAAACTGGAGCCTAATTTTTAGAACCTCAAGTATTTCCTTAAATAGAATTTGTAAAATATTAATCATAATAATATTAATATTAAGCAATATTGTACTCTCCTACATTCGATTAATAAACAATATCATACGATTCAGTATACTATTATATTTCCTTTGCTATCAATTAATCTAACATAAAACATACATAAATTTTTTTAATATGTACTATTTAGGAAACAAACTATTAATAATATACATTGTTACTATAAAGTAGATGTATTTTAATATACGTCAAATATTTAAATTTTGATAAGATAAAAATATGAGTATTAATTAATTGTTTAAAAATATGTTATATATATATATACATATATTCATAATGAAATGTGATGTTAACATATTAGACAAAAAAACATGGTGATAAATAAAAAGACTAAGCAATATTTATCAGGTTGTGTGATAAAAATATAAAGTATTTTGACTAAACATATTTATAAACTCTATCTTTAGTATTTCTCTGCAGCACTAAATTTTATCTGTTTTTTAGTCGCTTGTGTATCTTTTCGTTTATGGTTAAAGTTTCGCATAATAGAGTACTAAACACAAACATACATTTTTAAATGAATACTTATTTCTCTTCCAAATTGATAATCCTTTTACCTTGTCCTATATTTTGAACTAGTATTCAAAACATTAATATTTTTATTTGGCAGGAGGATGAATGTTGCTAATAAATACTGAACAGGATTGTTACGTTTTAAACTGTTTATGTTTTAAACAGGCTTTCTTTAAAAAACACGTTTTTTATCACATTTTTTTTTTTATAAAAATTACACTTAAAATTCAGGACTTTGTCCTTTTATAGGTAGGAGTACAAGGGACTTAAAAATAAATACTGACTACAAAATACAGTGATTTTTTTAACAATATACACAAGATTTTTCTTAAAATAATAATTTTTTTTCGTTTTTGCTAATTACAAATGTATCTTCGTTTATCTGTTATAAAATATTCTCGTGTTCATCCCTTATACCTTATAAAGGTGTCATCTTTATTTTTATTTATAGCAACATACATATTTAACTAGCTTATAAATTAAAAATTATATAATCAAGAAAATAACTGGTCCAAAAGTTGTTATAGACCAGTCATTTTCTAGTTTATATGCTATTAAAATAAATTGCATGTATGTATAATTAAATATGTATGTTACTATTTAAAGGTATAAGGGATGAATAAAGACATATTTTATTACAGATAGATATTATATCTATATTATATTAAATACTAACAAAAGTCAAAAAAAATTATTATTATTTTAAAAGAAATTGAGTGGCTAGTGTTAAAAGAATTATTCTGTATGTGTAACACCAGTCAACGAGAAGCGCTCTCTAAATTTTTTTTAACAAAATATTCTAATAAATATATATATATTTAATTTGAGATAGTCTTAATACTGTGGCATATATTTGTGAAGTACAGCGAAAGAAATGTTTCATAAAAGGTTTTTTTCTCTTATCTTAAAGGCATACTATATATTAAAATATAGAAGAGGTTAATTACTATAATTTGGATCTATAGCACACTTTAGGGAAACTTTTATGATATTTTTTTTGGTCGATATTTAAGAATAAAACATTTTGTATGCCCCTGGAGCTAGTTATGAAAACAGAATAGGCCCAAACTAGAGCGTAGTAGCAATACAATTTTCTTTCCAAATGTAATGCTCAGTATGAAGTCCATTGCGAAATCAATTCTTATAATTCTAAAATTTAATGTATACTCTCATAATTTTATAACAGGGTACAAATTTATATTATGTTTAGAATTTTCGTTGATTAGCTCAATAAAGTATTTATAAACATTATTCTAACCCTTATCTTGAGTAGTACATCCCTTTAATGATAAGTGATAACACAAGGGGTGGCATAGAAACCCGTGGTAATAGTTTTCATGGAAAAGTACATTTTAATCTACTGCTTAACATTTTATTGATTAGATTTGAAGTGCGTCGCCATTTTGCCAAAGATCTTAATTCAGGGCTCTTCTTTAATGGGCATATTAAATTTAGTCATGTATTTTTAACTAAATATTTTTAGAAAACTATTTATTTCTTAAAAGCGAAGCAAAATAAAGTTAAAAAATGACATCTACATTTCGCACAAGTGACATACTTCAACAAATGGATTTAGCCATGCTAGGAACTCATTTTGCCTCTGGTCCAATACAATTTGATCCAGATTTTGGTATAGGAAATGGTCATTTCATCAGTAATGGTATTCATTTGCAAAATGATTCTGATCAAGGTAACCAACTGAGTGGTTTGCCACCTTCATGGCAGAGTATTGCAGCACCTGGATCAACTGTAGCTGATTATTTGTCACATTTACCAGCTACATTAACATTACATCATTTTTTAAAATATTCTGGAGAACTCAAAGTTAAAGAAGAAGTAAAACCTAAGAAAAGAAAAAAGTCTGACAAACAGATTACAATCAGTAAGACTTCTCAAGCAGTGACTCAACAACTTAAACCAAAACCTGGGCAAATACGGATAACATATTGTTCGGATGGGACTACTATGTTTGGATGTCCTGAATGTCAAGCTGAATACTTAGATAAACATTTACTTGAAGAACATCTTTCAAGTCATGCAACAGAACGTAGATTTGTCTGTGACATATGTGGAGCAGGACTTAAACGTAAAGATCACTTGACTAGACATAGACAAAGTCATAGTTCTGAGAGGCCATATGCATGTACTGTATGTGGTAAAGCCTTTAAACGAAAGGAACAGCTGACTCTTCACAAAGTTGTACATACTGGTGAAAAGAGACATGCTTGTACTGAATGTGGTAGAGCATTTTATAGAAAGGATCATTTAAGAAAGCATGCTAGAAGTCATGCTGCAAGGAGAGATAAAAGTGGACAGTCATGTTAGTAGGTTTTAATATAAAAAAAATTGACTCGCATTTATTGCTAGTTTTATATTGTTATTAATTATACTTATCAAATTAAAATTAAATTATTAAAGGTTGCTTTAAATTGAATAAAATTATACTTAAATCTAAGTTAAATTCTCTTGAACTTTTTCTTTACTTTATAGATGTGAAATACATATATTATAATAAATAATGAAGCAACTACAAATTTTAGTAGTGTATTCATTTTACATAGAATACTTTAATTATATTAATGATGGTTTTATATATAAATATATATATGAAAGTTTATTAAAATATTTATAACTTATAATTTACTTTGAATTTAGAGCTTATGTTTATATTTAATGAATATTTGTGAAATAATATAAGTGAACATATTATAAAAAAAAATAAAATATAAAATTCTATAAAAAATATTTTATTTTTTCCCACCCCATCCCCAAAGACCTTTCACAAATCCTGAAATACCTTCTTTGTTAACAGAATTAGAAGGTGCTGGTATTTTCTTAAATGTTGGAAGTTTAATGTAATTTAAAGCAACATCAAAGAACATTGGCTTACATGGAATTTCTTCCATTTCAGGAGGTAATTTAATAACATTTGGATCCTTTCCTAATATACTAGGATCTTCAAAATATTCGTCTAAGCGTTTGGCTAATGGAAGCTAAGAAAATATTAACATTAAAATTTGTAACACTAAAAGATAGATATAAAAATATACCTTTAATAATTTTGAGTTTTTCAAACTATTAAATTGTTCTTCATTGTCTTGCTCTAAAACACTTTGAGCATGAGCACTGTATTTAGAAGACTCTATCACATTAATCAAGTCACCTAAACGCATTTTTAAATCTCCATCAACTTGTTTTAAAATAGATGATGCATGTAACAGTGCTCTTTCATACATAGCCATAGTATCTTTCCAACGATGAAAAGTACTTAAACTCTGACCAATATAATAACACCTAAATAAATATATAAATATTTTTGTATTTATATATGAATACAATAAATTAAAATATTATAAAATTAAGTCAAATGTACCTAAAAGCCTTATAAGCCTTAGCCTTAATATTTAAATTTTCTTGAAATTCTTTATCATCTTCTAGACCAGGAAGTTGTTGTTGTTCTATGATGTTCTGAATTAGAATTTCATATAATCGAGTTATGTCTTGAAGTTTTTTGCTACCCTATAAATAGAAAAAATAAAAACTAATCAGAATTATCATTAAAATTAAGCTTACAAGTGATCCTGGTTTATTTTCATTTTCTAATGCATTTTCAATTAGTAATAAATTACGTTGTATTGATCTTTCCAGGCGAATAAATGACAAGTAAGTATGGAGATACTGTAATGATGATGCTACAGCTGTTGATGCTCCATCCAATTTCTAAAATAAAGTTATTTAGATATAAATGTCTTGCTTTAAATACATTTTACTTGCTTGTTCAGTTTTTAAATCATCTCTAATTGCATGCATCGCATCTTTACAGTCCATTAGATGCTGTTCTAATGAATCATTTTTTTCAGCTAGAGTAGAACATTTATCTAACATTCCATCAAAGTCTCGATTAGCAAGTAAAAATGTTCTGACACGAGTATTTTTAACTGGTACAGTACGATTTCTCCAGTTTACTTCACTTAACGAGTCTCGTGTTTGAGCCATAAGTGCCTAAATCAGAACAAAAATGTTATGTTACATATTTGTCTTTAAAAAATATAATCTATTTGTATTTAGGTAAAAATTTGATAAAAATTTACGATGAAACTGATAAATAAATAAATAAATAAATTTTATTGTTCTTATTTTTGCTTGAAAAAAGGTGATACTTACGTCTAGTGTAACTAATAAGTCCCCTTGAGCTTGATTACGTAAATGTAATAACTGATTAACGTCAGTTTCATTGCCAATATTATATGCACAATATCGTAAACTAGGTTCTAATTCTTCATATTTGTTTCTATATAAAATTGCATCTTCTTCATTTAGGGCGGATGCTAATTTTTCATATATCATTCTAAAAAAAATATAACTTATTAAAAATTAACAAGTTGTTCTATAAATTACACTAAACCGGATATATTTTACCTAGTTTTATCATCAATTGACTATTCAAAATTTAAAACATTATGAGTAAATAGTATACTTACTGAGCCTTTTTTAAATTCTCTATAGCTGGTTTCCATTCTTGTAGTTCAAAATGTAACATTCCTTCACACCAAGCAACATAAGCTTGAGTTTCAAGCTGAGTACGAGCATCAAATTTGTCAGACTAAATTTTATTGAATTTTTTTTAGAAATTATTTAAAACTAAAAATTTGATTTAGTTAATTTAAATTTAAATTTAACCTCACAAAGTTTTTGTAATTGTAAAGCGTAAGTAGCAGCTTTTCTTAATCTAGAAACTAAATGAAATTTTTTTCTTGGTTCTGTATTGGCTTCCACTCGAAGTTGCATAGCATAACTCCATGCACGTTCAGCTAACATCAATGGAATGTATAAAGCTCTATACATAAGTATTTAAATATAAAAATGTATTAATATTTTAAAATTTATTGTTATTATTTTAGAATAATAATAAAATCTTGTTTATTTTAAGTGTAAAGAAAAAAAATTTTTAATATAACTTTTAAATTTTTCATAAATTTTTATTTGGAATACATTTTTTTATTAATTATTATTTTAAGCACTAAAAAATGTATAAATACTATTTTCCTTTCAAAGTGTTCTATAACTTACAAGCTTAGGTTGATTAACTTAATTAAGTGTAGTGCGTCTTTTATAATTATTCAAGGTAAAAGAGATATATTGACAATATTAGGTGTTAACTAAAAATTTAAGATGTTACCTTTCGTCAGTAAGATTTGCTTCAGTAATGTTTTTTTTACGAAAATTTCTCCTATCACCCTGCTGTAAATGCATAACTTTTCGTAATCGTCTTATACGCCTAGAGCAATAACCTCTGAAATAAAAATTATTAAATTAAAAAAAATTTAATATAATATTAACTTACTTTTATAAATTAAGTTGTAAACAAATTGATACCATATAATTGATTGAAAAGTGATAAAAAAACAGTATGATAGTTAATTACATACCTGTATCTTTGATAATCATTGTGCCTCAGTCCATGTTGTTGCTGAGCTTCTTTAATTATTTTTAGAACTAATTACAATTATTATTAAGATATTTACCAAATGTACATTATTTTATAATTAAAACTATAAACAACATCTTATTTAAAATAAATAAGTAATAAGACTGTCATTAGAAATGTATTTTTAAAGTAAGGTAAAGGTGACCAAAAAATTGAGAAAGAAAATCATTTTTTACATAAATTCAATTATATGGAAAGTACCTTTGATTCATCCAATAAAATGTAAGAATAATTCTAATTTATTGATAGTATTCTATAAATATTCTGAAATTTAAAAAAATGTTATCACCATAAGGATATATGTTAATTTAAAAATTTGCAATAAATAAAAAAAATGGTTTAATATTTCATACCCCAATTCATATATGTCAAAAATTTTACATATTCATTTTGTATGATACATTAACATACTTATTGATTATTTAAATTAAAGTAGATCAAGAAAATAAAAATGAAATAAACTTGAAAGTATGAACCTCCATATATTTAATGAAAAGTTATTTAATTATATCATAAATAAGGATGTTTGGTCAAAGTATAACATTTTTTACATTAAGAAAAATAAAAAAATTTATATACAGATAATAGTAGAGATTGTTTTAAATTTGTTATTTGAAATTTTTAATAATAGTGTAACAATAGTTATTACAAATTTTTAACAGAAATTAATAACCTTGTTCATTGTAAGTTTTATTAAGTTTGAACTGATTGTTAATAATAAGGTAAAACGTATGTAAATTATAGAAAAAATGTATGGTTAAAATTTTGTTAATGGTGCATGTCTAATAATTCTTTAGAAAATGAAATCTAAATTTATATATAAATATTCTAATTTTTTAAATTATAAATTATTATCTAAAATTCGATTATAATAAAAATGATTAAAGGATACTCTCAATTGTAAATATAGGAGTTTTCTTCTCTTCATTTTCAATTCTATTTTCCTTGTTTTCATTGACTGGGATTGGATTCGCCATTTCAAACTTAATATATATATTTTAATCAAAATAAATGGTAATTTTATTATAAAAAATAGAATAAAATTCTAAATTTCAAACAATTCAAACGAGTTACACGTTGCCAAAATTCGAAACCAAGTGAAACGTGTAGAAAGGTAATGATCATTATCAAATTATTAAGCAGGCCTAAAAAATCATATGATAACACATGATTATTTGATAATTTATGTTCCGTTTTGTTTAGTTCTTCGTTCTGTTTATTGGTTTACCTTATAAAGAACTATCTGGAAAACGTTTCGTCGAAGCCAAATATGAGTTATGCTATAATCTATATTTTAATTATATCCATATCTCTGAAATAATATTTGATAAAATTAAATTTTAAAAATTTTTTAATTTAGAATTTTTCTATTAGAAATGGAAATTAAATTAATTTAAATTTTCATAAAATGACGAAAGTTTTAAGGTTGTTAAGCTACTAAATAATTTTATTGATATTAAAGGTATTTTTTATTTTTAATTAAATGTTAAATATTGAAACTAGATTACGCGTTTTCAATATTTAAGTTAATATAAAAAGAATAAAGTTAATAAACGTTTTGGTTTTAGGTAGTTAGCATTATTGGCTGCATGAGTCTAATAATGTTTTTAAAAAAATGCCACCATAGATTAATTTTAGAAAAAATTATTGGAAGACCTTCGGTTATATGTGTTAGTAATTTTTATAGAAAAAATTCAAAAATATCTCATGATTCTGTTTTACCAACTCAAGCACAAATTGTGATATGTGGTACTGGACTGGTTGCAAATTCACTAGCCTACCATTTAGTTGAAAATGGTTGGTCTGATATTGTACTCGTTGATCAAGGAAAGTGAGTTGAAATAAGTTTAATTAAATGATGAATTTATCTATATAAGCTCTGTATTTAGACCATGTGGAGGAACATCACATTTTGGCTCTGGAACATTAGGTCTCTTCAAACCAATAGCAGAACGAAATATGATAATGTACAGTATTAAATTATATAGACAGTTAGAGGCTAAAGGATATGATATTGGTGTGGTAACTTTTAAAATTATCAAATAAATTATTAATAAAAAAAAAATGTTGTATTAGGATTGAAACAATGTGGTAGCTTGAATTTAGCTCAAACTAAAAATCGAATGATAGCACTAAAGCGAAGAATAGCGTATAATTCTCCAAGTGGATTACACTGTGAGGTGAGGTAATATAACATTGTACATTCCTTAATTTATAATTAAACTTTTAATTATTATAATCAAAGAAAACTTTATAGATGCTAGGAAAAAATGAGTTAAAAAGGCTACATCCATATTTAAATACAGATGATTTAGAGGGTGGAGTTTGGGTGCCTGAAGATGGAGTTGCAAATCCTCAAGCTATATGTAAATCATTAGGAAAACTTGCTAGTGAAGGTGGTGCTCATTATGTGAGCAATTGTAAAGTAAAAAAAATTTTGACTGAGAATAATCGTATTAAAGGTGTGAATACTAGTCGAGGATTTATTTATTGTGAATATTTTGTTAACTGTGCTGGCATGGTAATGAATTATTTAAAACAAATGTTCATATTGTATGTATTTTTATAATTTTTAGTGGGCAAGAGAGGTCGGAAATTTATGTTCTCCCAAAGTAAGAGTTCCTGTTTATCCAGCTGAACATTTTTATGTTACTACAAATCCATTATCTGGAGTTAATGATGACTTGCCATGCTTAAGAGATTTTGATTCTCATATATATGCTCGAGAGTATAACTCGGGATTTTTAATTGGTGGTTTTGAAAAGGTAGCTAAACCAGCATTTCTCAATACAGCACTCATACCTGCTGACTGGAAAAAAGATATGCCACAAGACTGGAAACACTTTAGTAAGATTACTTTGTAAACAATTCCTAACAAATTTTTGTTTTATAAAAAAAAAATTTGTAGTGCCATATTGGGAAAAAGCTATATCTAGACTTCCTATTCTCAAAGAAGTAGTCAATCCATTACTATCTAATTCACCAGATACGTTTACACCAAATGGCAAATGGATTTTGGGGGAAACTCCTGAAGTAAAATTTATTTTTTATATATTTATATTGTATAATTTCTTAGATATATTTTGACTGACTTAACAAATGTTAAGTCAGTCAAATATATTGTAAAAATATGCTAACAAGCAATTTTTATGTCACTTATCTATATCAAAACTGCTATAACTCAAAAAATAATTTTTTTCTTCTAAAAATAAAAATAAAACATTTACTAGAAACAATCATATTTTTTAACGTATCAAAAAAAATATGATTTGATCTAGCGGTGTGATATATTCATATTGTATTTAAAAAACTGAATAACTAATTAATTTTATTTTTATTTCTTATTAAGGTAGATAATTATTTTGTAGCTGTTGGAATGAATGGAAATCCTTTACAAGGTGCAGGTGGAATAGGAAAAGCTATGGCTGAATGGATCATTGAAGGCAGACCTACACAAGAACACTTGGCTTTTGATGTACAGCGATTTTTAGACTTACATAATAATAGAATGTATTTACAAGAACGAACTAAAGAAATCATTGGCCGGTTAGTAAATATATTGTTTTATATATTAATGTCAATGACACTTATATAATTATAAATATAATATAAATTATGATTTATATATGTTATGTTTTGTAATTCTAAACATTTAGCAATTCTTAAAATGTTATGTATTTAAATATTTTTTACATAGTAATTTTTTTGCATTTTTTCATTTATTGTGTAGTGGTAAAATATATTCTTTCTAGCTATTTTACAATATTTTACCAATATTGCCTTTCTAGCTATTTTAATTTAAGAATTTAAATAGTTTGAATATTTATATAATGGCAAATTATAATAAAATTAAAATAAATAACTTTATAAAAAAAATTTCTTCTTTTTCTTCGCCTTAACCCCCGCTACTTAGGGTCTGCTACCCTTATCTTAAACTTCCACTTGACATGATCTGCCACATTATCTATGCTCACATCAGTCATCCTCATATTGCATTTAATTACATCCCTCCATCCCTTTTGTGGTCTTCTACTACCTTTTCTTCCTTCAATATTCTTAATAATAATATTATTAAAAAATAAATTGTTAAAATATTTTTTACATTAGGCATTATGCAATACCATATCCTCATCAAAATGAATATAAAAATGCAAGAAAATTACGTTGTTCACCTTTATTCAGTGTATTAGAAAATCGAGGTGCAGTCTTTGGTACTCGAATGGGTTATGAACGTCCATTATATTTTGATACTACTTATAATGGTAAAAAAAAAGAAAGTTTGCTATCAATATCTAATGTCAATATTAATGAAATATTTTTCAAGTTAAAACTAATATCTAGTATTTTACTTTAATTACTTATGTAGGTAAAGGAAAACTTCCAGAATTACCTTCAGGGACATTTTACAAACCGACTTTTTTTGATTTTTTATTGGAAGAATTTTATGCTTGTAGAGAATCTGTTGGTATAATAGATATGTCTTCATTTTCGAAAATGAATATACAAGTAAGTTAATGAATTCTTAAACTTTTGTGAACTTTCTTTACATTGAAATTGCAAATAATTATCCAAGCTTTATTATTAAAGCTTAACTTTTTATTTTATTTTTTTGTGATATAATATACATAATGTGCTTAGGGTGGTGATATTATGACTGAATTTGAGGTAAATAACATATTTTTTGTAATATATTTCTTTATTATACATTTTTTTATTTTAATGAAAATTTGAACTCATATTTTAAAAGGTATATAATTTTGGTAGTTTTTGGCAGTTATGTTGTCAATTTTTTTATTAAGACTTGTATAATATTTAAATATAAGTTAAATAATTTCTAATTAATAAACATTACTTAATATTAATATTAGTTGAAGAATAAATTGAGATCAAATATTCTATTTTTTAGTCTCAGTGTGATGGTGTTGTTGAATGGCTTCAAAGTTTATGCACTAATGATGTTAATATACCAGTTGGTGGAATTGTTCATACTGCAATGCTTAATGAAAGAGGCGGCTATGAAAATGATTGCCTTTTAGTCCGTGAAAGAGAAAATAGGTTAATATATTACTTTTAAATAAATTACTTTTGTCTGAGAATATTAATTTTCACAGTTATTTGATGGTGTCACCTACTAGTCAACAAACAAGGGTTTTAGATTGGCTGAAAGATCATTTACCTAAAGATGAATCTATTCAGTTAGCTGATATAACTTCAATGTATACTGTGGTAAATGTTATAGGTCCAAAAGCTGGTGCTCTTATATCAGAGCTCTCATTGTCGGATGTTGACATTAATTTACAACCATTTACATTTAAAGTATGTCAAAGAAAATGTTGGTATAATAGTTGTACTCAAATAAATTCAATTGATTTTTCCTCAAGACTGTTAATATTGGTTATGCATCTGATGTGATGATGATGGCTTTTACTCATACTGGTGAACCAGGATATTGCTTATATATACCATCGGAGTATGCTTTACATGTATATGATCGTTTAATGGCTGTAGGATTTGACTATGGAATTCGAGATGTTGGTAGTTTAGCACAGAGATACATGAGAATTGAAAAATTTATTCCTTTTTGGGCAGAAGAATTGACTAGAGATACTACACCATTTGAAGCAGGGTGCAATCATATTGTAAAATTGGATGTGAGTACATAAATTTGTTCTTATTTCATTTCTATCTGTAATTTATGTCAGTATTTGAAGCAGTATTCAAATGAAAGTTTATATTGTTAATGAAAGTGTTTTTTAATGCTAATACTAGCTAATTTTAATCAAAGTTACATTTAGAATAAAACCACCGTTTTTTAGGCTTTTATTCAATAAAATTTTTAAAAATGTACTTAAAAGTTTGAGACTTAAAGATATTATCAGAATAAAAATTCATTGGAGTTCTTATCTGTAGATTAATCCATACCTCAAACATATACATAGCCTGACATTAAGTATAGATGTTATCTCTTAAGCTAAATTATTTAATTATTTTAATATTAGTTTATGAAGAAAAAACATTTATTTAAGAATTTTTGTATAGAAAGAATATTTTATTGGAAAATTTGCGCTACGTAGACAAAAAGACCAAGGAATTACTAAAAAATTAGTCATGTTTATTTTGGATGAATTAGATCCTGATACAGATATTTGGTTATGGGGTTCAGAGCCCATTTATAGGAATGGTCAATTTGTTGGGACTATTACTTCAGCTGGGTAAGTTATATATAATATTATTATTACACATTGTTTAAGTAATATTTTTTGCATATTCTGTAAGATTCACATATTGAATTGATTATTTAGTAGGCATATGTACTCAACTTAACAGGAAAATTATTTTGTGAGTACCTAAATAGTGAGTACCCGGGAAACCTATATTTTTACTCTATAAAATTACTGACAAAAATCTATTTTAAAAATCAATATACAGATCAAGAGAACTTTTTAAGATATGATTCATTACTAATATATCTATTTAAATACAAAGAAATACTAAATTAATTTACTATCATGAATTTATTTGTATATATAATTTTTTATATACAAAAGGTCAAAAAGTAAGGAACCAAGTCAATTTTTATGAATAGGAACTAGAAATTCTTTACCTTATTTACTGAACATTCTATATTTAAAGAACACCTTACTATTTCTAGTGATTGGAGTAAATTTATTTTATATTTCAGGTATGGCTTCAATTTAGGAAAACTTGTTGGTTTAGGATACATTCAACATACTTTTTCAGACAACAGAAATAGAAATAATATATCCATAACTAACGATTATATTTTATCTCCATCAGCAAAGTATGAAATAGATGTTGCTGGAAATAGATTTTCTGCTTCCCCAAAAATACATACACCATACATTAGTATGAATATTCAAAATATGTCCGATCAGTCACGATATATTCCTAAAATAATTTGTTGATATTGATGGATATTCTTTTAGTAAAGACGAAATTTATTTTGTTTACTACAAATTGCCTTTCATTAAATTATAGTTGTTATATGGTTTTAAGATATTTTATTATTGTGATACTGATGTTTTGTTAAAAATAATAACACAAAAAATTGTCAAGTTTTGACTTGTTTATTAATTGTTATATTATAAAAAGTCAAATAACAAATAAAATGTTTACTTCTTCTTCTTTCCTTTACCTTTCTTTTCAGCTGCTTTTTTGGCAGCTTCAGGGTTTTCAGCAGCTTCCTTTGCTTTCTTTTCTTTAATACCAACTAGTTTAGCTTCAATTCTTGCCTAAAACCATTAAACAATATTTAATACTCAATATTAAATTTAGTTCTTAAAACGAAATCTTCAAATATATATATGTATAGTTCATATGTTAAGTTTTTCTAAAAATATAAAAAACTATATTAATAAAAACAATATATTTAATTTAGTACAATTGATTCAAGAACCTCTAATAAAACAGCTATATAGGCATATAGAGGCACCTTTAAGGTTTGTACTTGTATAATATATTTCCATTTTTAATGAATTAAAATAACAATATTGATTGTTTGAATCAGTATATGATTGATAAAATAATTTTATATATTTGAAAAATGTATTAGTAAATACAAATAAATACAAAAGATAAATTTATCTTTTGTATATATTTTTTTTTTCATGTAATTAATTTAAAAATGTATAATTTTCTATTATTGATTAACAAATAAATTTTGCTACTTAAATTAAGGACTGCATAGTATACTGGATTAAAAAATACCAATTATTACGAAATCAATTGATGAGCCAGTAAGAGAATATCCTTCCCAATGATAAATTACATGAATAATAAAAAAAAAAATTGCCTTTAATTTCTAACTACTAAAATGGTCGTTACACCAGCTAACTTAAAGTCAAAGTCTTATCTGGTATATACATAGAAAATATAAGGAATAGTTTCCTGTTGCCTCTGCATTTATGACATGCTTCTTTATATTACTTTATTTTTTGTCATTTTAAAGCACAAAATATTACTAATAATTAACATTAATTTAATGCACTATCTATTGTAAAATGACCAATGATATATTTCTAAAAAAATTAAGAAATAATAGAACACAAATCAAATTTTATTATATGGCACACCTATGACTCGCACATTTAATAATGAGAATATAATGTGGATTTTAAAATGTGCAACAATTTATAATTTAAAATGAGAAATTGAAATATTTACCTGGCAAATAGCATTAAAGGCATTGAATTTCTTTTCTTCAGCAGTAATTGCTCTTGCTTCTGGTTCAGTGTTTACAGTTTGCTTAATTGGCAATATTTTACCTCTCAATTGTATGGCTGTTTTACGTTCTTCTTCCTAAAAAATTAAAATAGTGACATAAAATTGTAAATTACATAAATATATATACACACATTAAGTACTTACAGTAGCTTCTCCTTTCTTGATTTTATTTGTCTTACTCTTTAGAGGGAATAATATTAATTTGGAACGATATTCTTTTAAGCGTTCAATATTCACTTGAAGAGATTCTACACTTTTGTTTCTACGTCTTGGATCTACAGCAATACCAATAGTACGAGCAAAATGTTTGTTTAAACCAGCTCCCTAAAATGTATAGTTTTATAAGTCTTAATATACAAATATCAGAAGAGCTATAATTTTAAACTCTTCTCTTCTTCCTCGCCTTAATCCCAACTATTTGGGGTTGGTCATTCTTATCCCACACTTCCACTTGATACGATCTCCCATATCAGCTGTCCTCATATCATATTCAATAGTATCCCTCCATCTCTTTTTTTATTTTATTTTAAACAATAATCAAAATTAAAAAAGTACCTTTAGTTCTTGAAGAGTAAAACCTCGGCCAGCACGAACTTTAGTGTGGTATCTAATAGTTGGGCAATGAACTACTGGCCGCAAAGGACCAGCAGCAGGTTTGGGAGCTAGAGCTTTTGCTTTCTTGATACGATTTTGATGGCGTCTATATTTGCGAGCAGGTTGATTAAACCACGTCTTAATATAACGTTGCCAATCTTTATGAAAATGACCATTAGGTATCATATTATTACCACTTGGAGCCATTTTGCTTGTTTTTTAAATTACTCTTACCTGAAAAAAATTATAATTAATTTTTTTAATTTTATAAAAAAATTTTTTCATTTAATTTAAAATAGTTTATACTGAATAATAAACAACAAGCAATACTAAATTACATACATTAAAATATAATGAAATTATGTCACTCCAAATCTATGATTGGAATGGATAAAAACGGTATTAATAAAAATGCACTTACCGAAAATGTAGAGAATTACACGACGTTTACTTGCAACCCACAAAACTATGATGCTTGTTTATATGATAAGACATATCTAAATTAACCTAAAAATTAGCAGTTTAATATCATTAAAGTGTCTAGCCTGATCTTATGATTATCTGATATTTATTAATCGTTGTAGTGCAACACTGACTTAAAAACCCGCTGATGTAAAAATTTTTGTGTATTTTCCTATTGAATTTTTTGACGATCATATAAATGTAGATCGTATTGACAAATCGTCAACATTAGAGGGCCGTTGTTTGTTTGAGGAAGACGTGATCAAACTAGTTTAATAAAGCCAAGTAAATTCGTAAGTACTTACAAAATTTGTTTTACTGTTATTGTTAAGGCATTAGAAATAAAATAAAATATTTTAATAATAGTTACTATATAGAAATTATAATACATAATAAATGGTTTTGTTAGTTGCAATAAAATAAGTTAAAGCTCAATATTATTATATTTACGGAAACCATAATATTATGGAAGCTTATCTATTAACTTACTTCATTTTCATTATAAGTTTTGTGAAATTTACTCACGAAAGGTTATAATTTTTAAAATCATTTATCAGATATCTTATTCTGTAATTCTGTATTTTAATATAAATTTTATATCAATAAATAATAAGTATATATATACGTTTTTTGTAAAAAAATTCTTTTTTATATTTTTAACTTTATAACGCTATAACTTTTTGAACAATGTATGGATCAATATAATTATGTTTTTATAAATACATGAGGTAATTACCTATTATTTGGTATACATTTTTTTTATTTGACAATTTACCTGCCCACGGGGGGATTTTTTCAACTTTTTTCACAAAAAATTAACTTTTTCAACTTAACTTTTGAAAGTTTTCCCGTAATACTGATGTTTTTATATATATCTTAAATTAAAACCTATGTAATATACTTTATCATGGAAAAAAAATTTCAAACTTTATTTTGTCTTCAAGGTGAAAACAAACATCAAAGTTAATAAAAAATAGTTAGGCTCATGTATTTTTACTGAACAAAGAAGGTGGTCAATTGAATGGAATTGAGATTCTAGACAACGTAGAATATAGAAGATATTATTTAATAATATAGACACCGTGAATGTGTTTTTTAGAAGCGCATCAAATGCCATAAAACTATTTTAAGAATCATATTTTTAAATTATTAAAATGTTCATTTTCAACTTTTCTTTCTAAGTGTAAAGTTACTGTGACACGTCAGTTAAAACAAATAGTTACAGGTTCGACTTGCTGTTATTTTGCATTTTGCCTGAGGCTTCTTTCATCTTACAACATAATAAATACCTCTTAATTAACTATGTTACCGTTTAACTGTGTTAGTATCATTTTATCATTATATTTACATCAAGATTTATGAATGCACACATTTATTCCGATCGAAGAAAAATTTAACCGAGAAATTTAAAAAAAAAATGAATAAATAAGATATTTAATAATGTTAAAAAAGTTAAAAAAAAAACCCAGCACAGTGGTGATGTAGCATAGTTGGGTCAAGTATAATAATATCTGACAGTGATTAAAATCACTATCATAAAAAACGCTTCGATGAAAATTTGTAGATAGTGTTTAATTTAAAAAAATTGGTGGATTATTCCAAAAACTCTATGATCTGCTAATTATATTATATCCTTATTACTTATTTATATCCTGATTAAGATAAAGTATGTGCGAATGAAAAATGTGTATAAATATTATTTCTCATAAAAAAATTGTATTGATCCATACACTTTTCAAAAAATTATAGCATTATAAAATTAAAAATGTAAAATAGAATTTTTTTACTAAAATCTTATTTTTTTTTTTATAAATTTTGATGTTAGTTTTCACCATAAAAACAAACTAAAGTCTGAAATTTTTATTTTTCGTATTAAAGTATATAAGCTTTAATTTAATATGTATATAAAAGTGTCATTATTTCCGAAACACTTAAAAAAATTAAGTCGAAAAAGTTCGACTTTTTATATGCATTTTTTTAGTTGTGAACCCCACCTGTATATAGGTAAATGGTACGATTTAAAAAAAAAGTATGCCGAATTAAAGATGTATCTAAATATTATTTCTCATAAAAAATCGTATCGATCCATACATTTTTCAAAAAGTTATATAACTATAAACTATAAAGTTAAAAATATAAAATCGAGAATTTTCACACAAAAATAGCATTCGGAGCCATTTTCACTGTAAAGACAAAATAAAGTCTGAAATTTTTTTTTTCATAGTAAAGTATATTACATAATATTTAATTTAATTATAAATAATATACCAAATAATAGGTAAAGGCATCTTGCATCTATAAAAAAAAAAAGTTATATTGATTTGGTCATTTTTAAAAAAAAGTTATGGCAGTTTTAAGTAAAATAAATTGAAAAATGTCAAAAAATGGCGATTTTTAAATTTATAATTTTTTTGGAGATTTCCCCCATTTACGGGGAACGAGGAAATTTTTTTCAATCTTTGAGGGTAATATCTTTGGCTAGATACGATTTGTGATCTTTTTTCGTATTGTTAAAAGAAATCGGTTCGGTCAGAGCTGAGAAAAAGTAGTAACAGACAAAAAAAAACATATAGTAAAATTAATATCTAATATCTTCTCAGCTTCGCATCAAAGCCAAAATACGATTTTTGTAAAAAAATTCTTTTTATATTTTTAACTTTATAATACTATAACTTTTTGAACAATATATGGATCAATGTAATTTTATATGATAAATACTATTTATAAACCTCTTTCTTTGGACATACTTTTTTTTTAAATAAAACCATTTCCCTATATATATTTATATATATATATTACACTTATAAATCATAAAACTTTTAATGAGGATGTAAATAAGAAAATAGCAGATCATGTAGCTTTTGGAATAATCCACAATTTTTTTAAAATTAAACACTACAGATTTGCTCGAAGCGTTTTTTATGATAGTGATTTTAATTACTGTCAGATATCATTATACTTGATCCAACTATGCCACATCTCCACTGTGCTGGTTTTTTAAATTTATATTTATACTTTAATTATACGTTTATAAAGCTTACTTTTACAAAACAATTTAAAATTATTGAAAATTATTTCCAATGATTTTTTTAAATTTATATATTTGACACCCTATGAGTAAAATTGAGCTTTTCAGATGAAAATTTTTTTTTACTTTTTCAAAAACTTATATGCCTTGTTATTAAGTATATATATATATTTTTTTTGCTTATGCTTTGTTGTCCGTATTATATTAATTCTAATATGAAAAGTTCTTACTTGATACACCACCAGTATTGAAGAGTTTATTTATTTTAATTTAGTAGCAATTCTATCATATTTCTAAATTAAGGAAGTATATTTAACCGTTATTTTGATAGATCTAGTTGGATCTTGGGCTTTTTATGATTAATAAATGACACATTTAAAATGAATAAGTAAAAAAATTATTTTTCGTGTTATTAGTTACTTAAATTAATCGCTTTAAATTTTTTATCGAAATTGATAAATTTGTTTTTCTGATTATATTTTACTAATAAATCTATTCTTAAAAATTCTCACCAAAAAAAAATCTGATAACTAATTATTTAAAATTAAAAACTAGTACTCTAAAATTAGTACGATGATGTTATCTTATGTCTGTGCTAAACTTTAATTGGCGCTTTTTAAATACATTAATCTACAAAGATATTATAATTATGACCTTTGTATTTATTTTGCGAATATTAAGTAGTGTGTGACTATAAAATATGACAAAAAAAAGTGACATTATATAATTGTAATTTTTTTGAAATTTTCCCCCATTTACGGGGAACGAGGGAAATTTTTTCAATTTTTGAGGGTAATATCTTCGACTAGATACGATTTGTGATCTTTTGACGTATCGTTGAAAGATATCGGTTCGGTGAGAGCTAAGAAAATGTGGTAACAGACAAAAAAATATATATATATCATAGTTAAACCAATACCTTCTCAGCTTCGCATCGAAGATAATAAAGAACGAGTACTCAACTTGCACGGGGTAAATTATTTTCTAATACTGATGTCTATAACTTTATGATATTCTTGCAAGTAAAAGAGTAACCAAAATAACAAGAAACCAGCATATTATTAATATTGCTGTTATTTGCCTTATAAATACACTTTGGTTTATAATTAATAATACTCACTTTTAAAAAAAAGTCCAAATTTTCACGTACATGTATTGGAAGTTTTTAATGCTTGCAAGGGAAAATATTGATAAATAATGATAAAAATTTTATATTGAGGTATGAATTTTCAATTCTTAATATTAAAATTATATTATTTGTGTGTAAAATATATGTGCAAGATAAAAATATGGTAATTTTTGGATCATTTTCTTTAGTGCAGTTTACGAATATTATTTTAGTTTGCTAAAAATATTTTCTGAAGATTAATTTATGTGATTATAGTAGTATAAATTTTTATTCGTATGTTTACAATTAAATTTTTAAAAATGATAAGAAATTGAACATTAACGTTTACTTTCACCGATGAAAATGACGATTACAATTGGATAAACAAACGATTCATTAAACCGTGATAACTATAATTATTATAAACTGTTTACTTATGTTTTAAACATATTGTTTTTGATGAACCTTACCTAATACACCAGTTTAACTAAATGATTCTTGGATTAAAAATTATAAGAACTATTAGTTGCTATTATAATTTTGTATTTAATAACTAATTAAAACTTTTGTGACAATGTTTTGCCTTAATGATGTCAATGTTTTCTTTTTATTATAAAACCAATATAAATAGGTAAATGGATTATTTTGTGTATACATTATGAATTACTTAATAATTGAAATTTAAATAAACATTTAAATACTTAAAAATTATACTGTTTTTATATCATAAAATATAATAGTGTTTACTATGTTATCAGACAAAATAACATGTCCTTGCATAATGTTAATTGTATGATGTACAAATAGTGTATTTATTACTTATGCTTTCATATTTTAATATTATTGATAGTTTTATATGAACTCATATGAATCTATTAATAAAATTAATTTATTTAAATTCTTATATGAACAAGTCGTTTTTTAATTTCATAGTTAATTAAAATAAAACTATAAAATTTAAAAAGTTTCAAACGCCATACAAATATTTGTATCTTATAACTAAACAAAAAAAACTGGCAAATTTTCTCTGACAATTTTTTTTGTTAGTATTTATAGCTATATAATAGTTCTTAATCTTAGGAAATTTTATGCAATCAATATAGTTAATAAGACCCAGATATATATTAGATGAAAGAGTATAAAAAACGTTTGTTTTATTACAAAAATGAATAAGAATCTCACTAAATGTTTAGCGTTAAACTCTGTTGCGATATTTGCGTATTTATTTTGTTTATATTTTTTTATTCATAACTATATTCTGTATTTTTTTTACAGAATTAAAATAATTAAAAATTGATTTTTCAATTTCATGTATAGAAATATTACACATATTTAAATTATTACTGGTAAGTGTTTTGTAAACAGTTAAGTACACTATCGCTAGCAGTCATGTTTTCGTAAGTCGCAGGGTATACACTTTAATATTAAAGATTTGTTTGTTCTAAATGGAAGATTCTTATGGCGTTGGAAATTATTTTTTAAGTATACAAACTTATATACATGTATATTTATAGTATTTTTACAGGCTATACGTTAATTTTTAAAATTGAATCTGAATATTCGCCATCTACCCCTCAAAACACCACTGCTCTTATATAATATTCCATTTGTTAATTTATTTTAATATACATAATTTATTTCAATTACTCTTAATTATCGATTTCAAAGAATATTATTATTAGTTTACTTCTAAATGTATTTATTTATATAATTAAAGTTATCATTTTTTACTAACTCTTGTATTTTTCAAGGTCTAATATTAAAGGTATTCGAGAATTTACAATTATAAATTTACAATAAGGACAAAGTACAGTATTTTGATTAATATATCATAATAAGTCGTAGATTATTTTCCAGTAATATAATTTATTATTCAGAAAAATCGAGATAAAAAATAAACATTTTATTGTTGTAATTATTTGATATTAATTATAACATTAAATAATATTTAGCAGAAAAAAAATAGTAAAGACGAATGCATTAAAAGAAACCTACTTATGTAGATTTAAATGTGACACATAATATTTTTTTAAAGTCGTATTTATTAAAATAATGTTTTTTTTTAATTGCTTATAGCCAGAGTTCATAACTTAATACTAAATAGTTTAATTTAAGCGCTATAATGAACATTTAAAAATACTACTTTGACTTTTGACCACTTTGTATCGTATTTTTATGAATACTAGAGATACGTACGTACTTTACGCACATCATTTCTTTTCATTACATTTTATTCGTTTTTGAAATATTAAGAATATACAATGGTATTTCTAGGACTTCTAAAATGTCTGTAATATTGAAACTTATGAGCCCTACTAATAATTATTTGTTTGGTTTATATTAACTTTTAAAAATGTATTAACTAGATAAAAAAATTAATTTCCTAAAAAAAATGCTATTGGATCATTTTTTTCAATAAGAAACAGTTGTGGTTATATAAGAAGACGATATGTTGATCAATTCCTTCTTGCTAGGTGCCTTTTTAAAAATTGTGTTAGATATTATTAATTGTGATGCAAGAATGCATATATATTATAAAGATATATATATATATATACTATCTGTAAACTAGAGTATATAAAACATAAACTCTAATCAAGACTTAATTTTACATTTTGAACTTTTTTTTGGTAATTTTCTCTTGTTCATAAAAAATCAATTATAACCGACAATGATAATAAAATAATGTTATTGTGTTATATTTGATAAACTTATACTTCATCTAAATTTTAATTATAAATGATTTTTTCTTATATTGTTGTGAAGTTTTGAATGTATCTATCAAATATATAGTGTTATTTTCTAGAGTTAATGAAAAGTTGAATCCTTATAATGTTTTTTCGATTACTTGTCAATAAGAAATTAAAATTAAAATGTTCAAAAGTCAGCTCAGAAATTTGTTTAAATGACTATTAGAATCGATACATTTCAATGGTTTCTTGCTAATAAACTAATATATTATGTACATGTATTAGTACATGTTTATAATTGATTTAGTAAAAGTATTGAAGTAGTGAAAACAAAATAATTATTCAACTTACAAAATGGGACGTTAAATTTCAATTTTAAAAAATGACTACAAATTTCCCCCTTCTTTTCCTCGCCTTAATCCCAACTATTTGGGGTCGTCCACCCTTATCCTAAACTTTCACTTGACACAATCTCCTACATCATCTACGCTCACATCAAACGTCCTCATATCGCATTCAATAATATTTCTCCATCTCTTTTTTGGTCTCCCTCTACCTTTTCTTCTTTCAACATTCATTTATACGACATTTTTGTTTTTACAGTTTCCTATTCCCTCTCTTCTCATAACATAAACAAATCATATAAGTCTATTTGCTCTCATCTTATATATGTTTGTCCCTTATCTTATCTTCTCTAGTCACTACACTCATCCATCTAAACATTCTCATAACTGCTACACTCATTCTCTGCTTTACTTTCTTGTCAACTGCCGAATATTCTGAGCCATACATCATTGCTGGTATCACTATAGTCTTATAAAACTTACCTTTCAGCCTCATTGGAATTATTATATTCTTTTATTGCATAACACACACACAAAAAAAAATAAAAATACAAATATTAATTATTTTAAAATGTATATCAGAGATTTACTTGAATGTTTTATAATTTTTTGTCTAATGATTCGCGAAAAAAAAAACAAAAATGTTACTAGTTTGTCAGTTTTGGCAGATTAGTAAAACTCAATATGAGTCCCCCCTAAAGTATTCATTCTCCTTGATATGTATAACCACATAAAAGAAAAGATCCGAAAGTTAAAAGAACAAATAAATTAGGAAGGATTTTAAATACTTTTTAAACAGTTTTGGATATTTAAATCTTCAACAAAAAATTAACTATGAAAAAAAGTCAAAGTTTAACCTTTTTTATCCTAAGAAGTTCACCTATCATAATTGTGTTCAAAAGTTTGCTTTTTTTAATTTATAAACTTTAATCTCACTTTCATGAGCAACATTGCTCCTTTATTTAACTCTTAGACAGTTTTTAAATGAGGTATAAAACAGATTTTGCCGTAATTCTAAATGAATCCCATTACATAATGTGATCTGAACTACTTTTGTTTTCTTCTTAGACCTTTCCTTTCCATTTCCTATGTGATTTCTATATAAAAAAAAAAAAGTTAAATTATTTTCATTTTAGAAATAAAGGTTTAATAATAGTCTAAAACCGTAGGAATTCTTTATAAAAAAAGTAATACAAATTTTTACTGTAATTTTTACTTTTTTTAATAACTTCAAAAGTTATTAAAGATATCAAAACCTGGGGGACACTCAGTATATTATAAATACCAATTAATCATTTTAAATTATTTTATCATACTTTATTCAATTGTTTTAGAAAATGACCATTGAAAACGAATTAATAAGTCTTTGCATTGATGAAAGTCCGCCAAGGAATAAACCTTTGGTAGCAAAATATTTGAGGTGCGTATTGGATGAATAAATTTTGATTTAAATGGCAAATTCCTAAAATAATTACAATTTTTATATTTAATTTTTACATAAATATATCCGTTTGTACAATAAATTATTATTATTTTTGAATTAATTATCTTACAAAACAATTTTTTAATTATCAATGCCAAAAGTTTCATAGTGCACAGTAACATTAATTAAACAATTAAATAATCAAAAACAATCAAAAATATTTTAACATAGGGGCACTAAAGAGATAAGCCCTAAATTTTACAAAATTATTTTTTAATATCATCAAAGATAAAATATTTTTTTTTTGTTTTTTTATAATGTTTTAATTGTTGTGGATAACACAATTTTTCTTTTGTCTTTTTATTTTTATTAAGGTTTTTTTTTACTACACTAATTACCACCCAAATTTTTTTACTATTATTTGATCATTAAAAAAAAAAATGTAGAAGGATATAAAAAATTGTATTTAATTTGAAATACAATCTTTGTCTTCTAGTTTGAACCTCCTAAACCTATCTCATACCTTTGTCCTGGGCAACTGCTAATTTTTAAAAATTCATTATCGTGAATTATATTTTTTTTGCAGAAGTTTTGCATTCCCGGTATTATCTAAGTTATCGCCCTTTAATATTACTAAAACGGGTAGTTACTTAGTGGCGAATAAAACTGCTATTATACAAAAATATGGACCAGTAAGTTTTCTTAATTATGCTTAAATATTTTCTATATTTATTAAGTATACATTTTAGTTCATAAAATTATGTAAACAAACAAAAGCTGTATCAATATTTGATAATTTATAAGTGAAAATATTTTTTCTATTAAAATATTGAACATTGAACAGTATTACGCAAATGATTCATGTCACATGCTGGTATTCGAAATTTATGCTAATTATTTCATTTTTACATGGGCTATCATGTAAAAATCATATCATGCGCCTAGAAAATGATACTATTGATATATTATTAATTTTTGAAGTAAAGTCCAAAAAGATAACATAATTAATAAAAATTCTTATTGAATATTCTTAAGTACGCCTATTCTTTAATAGTAGAAGCTGCAATTACTTAAACAAAAACTAAATTAATGAATGTACAAAATAATTGATATAGATTCTTGCAATTTATGGGTAATATCGCAGGGCCATGTTAACATGTACTACATCTAACGACATAAAAAAGGTGATAACTAAATAAATGAATACAATTTATTTCAATGAAAGGATTTTATTTTATCGACTAATTCTAAATCTTGTAACTTCCAGTTGGTCTAAAATTGCCATCTCATTTCTTATTAAATTAATTAATTTTAATTACATTTTCTAAGTCCAACTTATTTTCCTTCAATAAATAATACATACAATTTATTATAATATATTGTATTTTATACAATATAAATTGATATAGTCAAACTAATAATGGTTTGATGCTTGAAGATCCCAGTAAAAATGTTTTTAAAATAACAAATTAACTTGTAAAATTAGAAGAAAATGGTTAATTTATATATATTTAATAGCAAAATATATACGAGTAATATTCTAATCTGTAAAAAATGTTTTCATGTATATATGATATTTTTCCGACTACTTAATACTTTTAAAGTACATTTAAACTAAATTTTCGAAAATTGGGATTCATTTTTTTAATGTTAATAATTATTTAATAATTAATTATTTAATGTTAATATTTCCTTTGTTTAATATTTGTATAAAATAAAAAAAAAAAGCATTATTGTAAAAGTTATTTTCTCGCTTATATATTTAATATAATGAATGTAAAAAAAAAATTTAACCTACAATTTTGATATACTTAACTGAAAATCGTGGAGAACAAGTTTAGACTTAAAAAAATATCGGAAGTTATGTTTTATGAGATTATATATTATTATTATTTATAATAATTATAAACTATTATACAGTTATTATCGTGTATACATTAATTGAAAGGTTCAATTATGTTTCACATGTTATTAAATTTGTTTTTGAATATAAATATAACATTAACCATGCAAGATAGAACGAAGTTAAGCTAAAAAAACGCATGTCACGAAGCATGAAACATGGACCTACACGTGCATTATCAGAATTTTACATTGGACTTGGAATAGAATGAAATTGTTGTAGTAGGAGATAATGTTATGTAATAGTTCATCAATAAACAATAGTTTTATATATCATTAATGAATAAATAAAGAATCAATCAAATTTTCCTCCCTTGAACTTTTAAAAAAAGATTAAAAAATTCAGAAGTATGTTTTTTTTTTTATATAGAATTGAATTTGAATTAAATAAATTCATAGTTTAAAAAAAAACTTTGGTTCGATAGTTGATTTTTTTTATTAGGCGCATATCAGGTTATGCGATTTAGCCATGAAGACTACCACATGTAATTTAGTAATTATATCTTTTAACTGAGGATGAGAAAACTATAATATTAAGATAATATATAACTAATGGATAAGTTCAAGTACATTGAATATTTGTTATAATTTATTTTAATATATTAAAAATTAAAGTAATTTTTGTCGTGAATTTTTCAGTAGGTCTCATATAAAATGAAGAATCACAAAGTTTTCAAGCTGTCTTGTTCTTTCGCTAAATATTAGTACAATAAAATTAATACTAAATAAAGACTTTTAGTGTGACCATTCCAACTTGACAAATTTTTTTTAAAATCGGCAGCTTATTTCATTTTGAAATGTTTTAAAAGTACTTTTATTAAATAATAAAATTTTATTATTAAACAGATTTAATGAGGGCTACTGATATTTTAGGGATTTCAATAAAAATAACTAATATTTAAACTTCAAATGAATTTATTCAAATTATTTGGTTGTTTCTATCAGTTTATAATATTATGTAAAAAGTGGTGCTAAATAAATGAATATACATACAATTGAAATAAAACAATTTATAATGGTAATGTGGAATATTATTCAAATAATATTTATTATAGTGTAATGTGTTTTGACATTGTAAGCAATAATATAAAATAGTTATTATAATAAAATTTTATTTAATGATATGTAGCATCGTTTTCAAGCAATAAACTTTTTCTTGTCTGAACTTTAATCTACATAAAATATTAAGTTATTTTTAATGTAGTTATTTGACTTATTAGGATGCCGAGATTGACATTAACTATACATTATTGAAACTGGATACACTAAAAGCGGAAATTCTTAGTAACAAACCATTTAGAAAATTAGAGTCAGATAATGTAGACGTAAAGATATGGAACCAGATCCTCGAAGATTACACCGATAAAGACGGAAATCGACCTACATGGTTAAACACTATTTGGCTATATGGCGAATGTTACGTTCATCGTCGTTTGTTTGAAACTTTCGAAACTAGGTAAATGACTAGTAAAAAGAACCCAACACAGTTGAGACATGGTATAGTGAGTGAACAGTATATTTAGACGAATATAGATTGATATCTGACAATGTTTAACATCATTATCGTAAAACTGTTTAATGCAAAAACATCCTTCTTGGTTTTAGACGCAGGTTTTTTGGAACATTTTTATAAAAATTGAACTGTAATTTTTTTTAAGGAATTTCGACGTTTTTTTTTACTTTGACAAACAATTTTATACGGAGGATAATTTTTTTTTTTATCATAAATTTCGATTCAAAGATGATTTAATTTTATGTAGGTTAAAAAGAAGCTGAAATGATTGCTTAATATTTAAATATAAAAGAAAAAAATTGACATAATGTTTTACTATGCTTCAACCCTCTTGAACATAGTTATGAATAGTGTTATGAACTTGGGGTGCTTAAATTCTAAAAGTAAAAAAAAATGTTATCGCTCTACTCGAAATAATGTACCCATATTTTTTATATTTATTTATATGCATACAATTATGTATAACATTATATAAATACGTTTTTTCTACCACTGTGGTATTTTAACTATAATTGTTATTTTATTTTTTGTAAATTGCTGTTTTAAATATAATTGCTATAGTAATTATTTATATAATAATATAAGGAAATATTCTATTTTTCTTTACAAAATTAAAAAAAAATTATGAAATCAGCTGGGGGTACTAATATAATTCCAAGAGGGTACTAAGTTGACAAAGTACACCCTATTTGCACCTAACATTTATGTCCTTAAACTTAAGTTTTTTTGTTGGATTTTTAAAAAAGTATATCGGTTGCAAAGTAATTGTATATATAATAATTGTATATATATAATATTATTTATCAAAATTTTGAATTTATTCAGTTTTCTTAAATGAGGGTCATACTAAAGTACTTATTAAACGAAATATTAGATCTGCTAAATTTACTATTTTTATTTAACTAGTGCTGTATTGGTAAAAGTTGATAAATACTCTATTTGTATAAAGCAATTTCAGTGAAATTGGGATTAAAATAAATAAATGAGATATACTATAAGAAAATTAAATATCATATGCTTTACAATTATATGATAGAAAATAATTAATTACATTACTACTCACAAACATATATTTGTTGAGTATAAGTATATTATATTATCATTACAAGTCAAAAAAATTAAAATTTTATTTCGTTTCATAAGGAATAATAAATATTAAATAAATAAGCTCTTAGTTATTAATTTTTTTTTTAATGATTCTTTTCTTAAACGGATTTTCATTTATTTATTTATATAAAACATCTTTTGATTCAAGACTACACATGGGATAACTATTAGTGTAAACTATCAAATACTATTAGAGATTTGAAGGATATACGGTGTATGCCCACTAACATTTTTTTTTAATTAATGTATTCTTTAAAATAAAAAAGGATTTTTCGCAAACACCACTGAATACAATAATTATAATACTACTAATATTATAAAATAAAATATATATGGTTTAGTAAATACTTGAGAGACTATGATCCTTTCTACGAGCAAAAAATGAAATCATTGGTATCTTGTGAAGATGCAATGGAGTTTTTAAGCGATTTTTTGATTGACTATTTTCAACGGACTAGCATACAATCTCGTCATTTACGAGAAGACCTTCCAAAAATTCTTAAATGTGCTCTTTGGGGAAACCGTTGTGATTTATCACAAACCGGTGGAGATACAATTATACAAACTGAAAGTCCTTTAAAGCTCGTTGACTCATTACAAAATCTCATTTTAGTTGATGAATCTTCAAAAATTGTTGATTTCCTGTGTAGTTTTAATCGTGAAGGCAAAGACAACAAAATTTTAGGTAAAAATATTTTTAATATTTATTAGTTTTTAAATTAATATTTTTAATATAGTTTTAATTTTATTTAATTAAAAATATTGAAAAAATGTGTTCTTAGAAAACTTAAATATTTTTAATTTATTTATTATTTAAAATATTCTTTAAAGATATTATATTGGACAATGCCGGCTATGAGTTGTTTAGTGACCTTTGCATGGCTGATTATTTTGTTACTTACAAAATTGTCAATACTGTGAGGTTTCATGGGAAAGCTATACCTTGGTTTGTGTCTGATGTTACACGTCGTGATTTTTTTGATACTATCGATTACGTAGCTAATAAAAGTGGAACAAAATCTATGAAACAACTTGGAAAAAGATGGGAAGGATACATTCAATCTGGTATGTACATTTTATATACAACTCTTTATTAAACTTGAGTATTCTTAACTTTTCTTAAATTTTGTTTAATAGAGACACTTTTTATCTCAAAGTATTGCTCATGCTTAATATAGTTTATTATAAGAATATAGTTTAAAACAAACTATATTCTTCATGTCTATAATGTAATAAAATGTTTTACGTTATTCGCAAATGCCTTTGTATTTTCTATATTTTGTTCAAAATGACGGAAAAACTTGTAGAAGATTTGTAAATCTTAAAATTGTTTACTTTAACTTTTGCTTGTAAAATTTAAAGTTTATATAAAAGTAAATTTATATATCAGCAACAACAAAAAATGAGTGTTATTAACACGCTTATATTAGTTTCACCTGTATGTATGTATGTATGTATGTATGTATGTATGTANTTTGTAACTCTCCAAACGCCACGCGTTATCGCATATTCCGTTGTCTAGACTAGACTGTTATACGCATTCACCCCTCCCCACGCCTCGCTCACAATACGACGGTACACTATTCCTATAAAAATTTATTTTTAGTTATCGTACCCGTACACGCGTGCTTGTCATCAATATTATATATATGTAAACAAATTTTTATTTTGACTGACCAATAACGCCCGCGTCTAATGCGCCTTACGTATATATATATATATTCCTACCGCCGTTTATACCTCGGGTATAACGTTAGTCCGACCCGCCCGGCCATAAAACACAGCTATACTTAGTGCATGATACTTTTACGTAGTTAAGTCGCATTATTTGTATAAATATATATATTCTAATTACTATTAAAATTAATATATTAACACGATTTATTCTAATTAAGAGATATAAAGTATTCATTCCGATTACGAGGGATGATTTCCGTATCGTCATTTTTCGTCACTATCTCCACGTTCCGGGAGTGAGTAATTTACGCGCCTGCTGTTTTCTTTGGATGTGGTAGCCGTTTCTCAGACTCCCCAGAATCGAACCAACCCTGATTTCCCGTTACCCGTAACAACCATGATATTGATAGTAACTACTATCATAACATGAAACTAAAAAGTAAAAAATAAATATAGTTTAAAAAACTAAAAAAACACGCTTTTAAAGTACATCGAACTAAAAAGTTAAAAATAATTTTTAAAATAATTTTAAAATAATTATGAACAAAAAATACTAATATTATTGTGATAAAAGCGTGGGTGCTTTGTGCCATATTTTTCGTATATTGAGCGCCCGACGCTTTTATCACAATAATACTAGTATTTTTTGTTCATAATTATTTTAAACTTATTTTAAAAAATATTTTTAACTTTTTAGTTCGATGTGCTTTAAAAGCGTGTTTTTTTAGTTTTTTTAAACTATATTTATTTTATAAATAATTTTGTTCTTCTCAAAATAACTTATAATTGCCCTAGAACAATGTGTGATGCCAATAAAAAGGGCATATTGAAAAAATGGTATAAAATTTGAATTTAAACTTTCATAACACATATTTTGATATATTAATAAAAATTGATAAAAGACACTATAACTCACTTTTAAAAGAAAAGAATATTGAAAAATAACGTCAAATTTGAATTTAGTGACCTCAATAACACGTTTAACAATCTTTTTTCTACTCAAAAGTTGAAAGCTTGACTTCAAAAAATTTTTCCTGCTAAAACTTTGTTTTAGAACACTATTTTGATTGAAAAAAACTAATTATAATCATATGGCTATTTTTTATGTTAAACGTCCTCGAAATGTATTGTTTGATGAAGAGATTTATGATTATGAAATAAGCGTAATCACAAAGGTACAATTTTATAGGGAAATACTTTTTGAACTAATTAAAAATACTTAACCAAACTTTTGGAAAAGATAATTTTCAATGACAACAAAACCTCGTTTTTGAAAAAAGTAATTGTTACGTAGTATTGAAATGACAAAATATATGTTTTATTGCTTTCACATGTGACATATGCAATACTGAAATTGCTGTTTTTATAAATTACTAGAGATAATTATGGTATATGATTACTTGTATAATGATGTATCTACGAAGGAGAGTCTTTGGAGTCAGGACCCCTTATAGACATAGAATAATAGTATTGATAGTGGTGGATAGTGGAGAGGTGCAGCTCCTCACTACTTTACGTTTTAATAACTATCTGGACCCAGTGGAGCTAAAACTGAGGGCAGTTGCCTCCTTGATCAAAATACGATGGGGCAAAAGTATCATTATGACTAAAAAATAAAATTAATTATTATTATTTGGGTTAAGTTAAAAAAACGTTTTTTAATAACTTCATTAAAAAAAAAAATACATAATATCTGACAGTGATTACAATCACTATCATAAGAAGCGCTTCGATACAAATCTGTAAATAGNAAAAGGAATAAACAAAGACTTTACTTTAAACAGTAAGCCGGACAGCGACAACCGAGTACTGAGACTGATGAATGACACAAGGCACTGGAGTCGACTGACCACGATGGTCAGGTCTATTGGGTTTTTATAATAATTACACCTATTGCCGATTTGGCAATAAATATTATTTGTTAATTCATCAGTCTCAGGCAGCGGATGTGCTGTCTGTATTTTATTAAAATAATTCTCACGATTATGAAAACGTGACACCATCACATCCACTCATGTCTTTTTGGTGCCACGTCCCCGTGGTAATGAACAATTCAAATGAACAAATAAAAGAATATTTTATGAGAATAAACAAAATAATTTAACTTAACTAATTTAATTTACATTTTAATTTTCTATATATTTTTTTGATCCGCTTACTTTCCTACATTTGGTGTATGATTTGGTTGTGGAACGATATTGTTCTTTTTGCTTTTCTTTTGTAGTCCTTGATGTTTTGATTAATGATCAGGCTGTATAGATTGTTTTTAATCTTGCTTTGTTTTCAGGGGGGATTTGCTTGGAATAAAGCTTGTTGGGTAGTAGGAAGTTTTTGCAGGGCTTGAAGTTTTATTATGTTACTTCTGATTTCGGTTCAATAATATTGTTTAATGACTTCTGACCAATCATATTTGACGTAACTTTGTAAATATAATCGTCGGGCTTTTTATTTCTTCCGCTTGAATCAGTTGTGTGAATGCTATCGCTGTTATGCCCATGCACAATAGTCTCAACGCTGTGGTTTTTATCATCATTGTCTCTATTGTAGTACGGTTTTAGTCGTCTAATGTGTATGGTATCCTTCACGACATTTTTATTTAGGATTAGTTCTACTTCATAATTTACGTCATTTATTTTATTAATTATTTTAAATGGACCACGATATTGGTGGCCTAATTTTGCACATTGGTTTTTTATTATAAAAGGAAATTTGACTAAGACTAATTGACCTGGTTTGTATTCTAAGTGTTTGTGTGATAAATCATAGTTGATTTTCTGCGTTTTTTGAGCTTTTGCTATTATGTCTGGTAGTTTCATTCTAACATTATGTAAGTCTTCCAGCGCTTTCTTTAGGTCATGTGATAGAGGCTGAGGGATTATTTTGTTGTCTATAGGCTGTGCAGCATGAAATCCATGCATTAGATAGAATGGCGAAAATCCAGTTGTAGACTGCGGTGTAGTGTTGTAGCTAAAAGTGACAGCTGGTAAATAGTGTGACCATCTATTCTGATTGTTGTCTTGCATATAATGTCGTAAAGCTGTACATAGCGTCTCATTTGTTCGTTCTACAAATCCTTGAGATTGAGGCGAGTAGGCTGAGCTGAACTTCTGTTTGATGCCTAAGTTGTCACAAACTTGTGCCAGTTCCTTATTTTTAAAGTGAGTTCCCCGGTCACTTGTTATAGATCGAGGGCAGCCCCATTTGAAAATTAATTCGAAAAGGAATTTTATGACAGACTCGCCATCTGCAGAGCGAACTGCTTTGGTGAAAATATACTTGGTCGTGTTGCAAGCTGCTACTATTACGTGTTTCTTTCCATTACTATTGCATAGTGGCCCGAGAAAATCAATAGTTACTCTAGATAACGGAGTTCCATCTATGACTGGGATAGGCTGTAATAATCCTGTAGGTTTCCCTGTGGCTCTCTTGTTGATTTGACATGAATGGCATGATTTGATATAGGCTGCCGTGTCTTTCGAAAGAGAAGGCCAATAATATTTTTGCTGTAGCTTATGTATAGTCCGTGATATACCTGCGTGTCCTGACGTTGGACTTTCGTGGTATGCTTTTAATATTCTAGCAGTAACTTCTTTGGGTACTACCAGTAAGTTATAGTTGCCTATATTTTGATTATATGATTTAAAGTATAATACGTTACATATTATGGTGAATTTCCGTGATAGTCTATTTGTTTTCTTATCTGATTCTTTGCCTTCTAAAGCGTTTCGAATTGATAAGCAAAAAGGGTCTTTTTGTTGCTTTTCTGCAATAGAAAATTCTTTCTCTTCTGTGGCTGATAACTCTTGAATGTTGCCAATACATTGAACTTGAACATTCGGTTCGTGACCACTCTCATATCCGAATATTGCTGAGTCTATTATGTGTTCTAAAGAGTATCTGGATAGTGCATCCGCCACTACATTATCTCGCCCTCTAGTAAATACTATTTTGAAGTCGTAATCCCAAAGTTTGATAATTAAGCGAGATATGCGGGCTGACGGATTTTTTAAGCTGCGGTAATATTTTAAGCTAATGTTATCACTATATACCGTAAAATGTCTGGCGTAAAGGTACTCTCTGAAGAATTCGATAGCAAAGGTCAGACCTAGAAGTTCTAACGTAGTAGAGCTGTAGGTTTTTTCTGATTCTAACAGCTTCCGAGAGGCATAACCTATGACTCTTGAAATGTTGTTTTCGTCTGTCTGTTCTAGCACTCCACCTAGCCCTCGAATACTTGCGTCAACGGTCAAGCTCGTTGGTCTATCATCGTTAAAGTGTGCTAGAATAGGTTTTGATGTTAATAAGGTTTTCAGTTGTTCAAACGCTTCAGTATGTTCTTGTTGCCAGTTAATTTTCTCGTATTTTTTTGTTTTTGTTAACTCTTTAAG